ATCAAATTTCTCTCCAGTCCTATTTAATGTGACATATAGCATTCTTGTGGCGACCTGAAGGTAACATCGTCACTTGCTTGTGCTACATACTGACACGATGTACATTAATGTTTAAGACCTTTACGTCTTCCTGCAGTTGATTCAATTCAAAAACATGTAGTGGGACAAAGGTGTAATCTCTAGCCTGCCTTTTCCATAAATGACACCAAAAACACATCAATCTTTGACTTTTTTTGTTGATGTTGTCGTCGCTCTGCTTAAATCCCGTCATATTGATCAGGATTAATCATTGACTTGATCCCAGAGGGAGGATAAAGCTATGAATTTTCACCCAGTGGCTCTTTGTCCGAGGAGCCAGCTGATAGCTTGACAGCTCAGACAAACACCAGGGGCGGGGGGAGAAACATGAAAACAACGCCGGTTCCTGTCGTGCTTCTCCTGGTCCTGGCCTCCGTGCCCGTCCCCTGTGACAGCAGCCAGGAGGCCCTGCCTGAAACCCGCTCGCTGTTTGCTCCCCTGGACGATGTGCACCTCCTGTCCAGTGGCCTCCTGGAGCTCGGCCAGAGCATGCGGGAGTTCGTGCAGAAGACCAAGGGGCAGATCAGCACCATCTTCCAGAAGCTGAGCATCTTCGACCGCTCCTTCGTCCGGCTGACGGCGCTGGCCGGGGAGATCAAGGAGGGCGAGGAGGAGCTGAAGCAAACCGCCGCCGTGCTCAGCACAAAGGAGTCGCTGGGAGAGGTCAAGCTGGGATCAGCCAAGGAGAGCCTCGTGGCCAACTTCTGAACAAAGTGGAACTCATGGAGGAGAAGCTGAGCAGCCTGACTGTGGACCTGGTGACAGTCAGGCAGGCAGCAGAGATCAACAGCCTCAGAGTGAGTGACCTGTGTTCAGATTTGATGCCTTGTTAAATGGCATAAAGTCATACAACAAGGGGAAAAGTTTGATGATTTTGGGCATAAACCCTAAAGTCTCCACATGTTTTATAAAAATAATCAAACCGAGACTTTTTCTCATCAAGCAAACTCTTGTTCTCATTCTGCATTTGGCTTCATTTTATAGTATGGAGCTAAATAGGGGCCAAAAAATTAACCCACCAAAGCTATAAACACACTCACTCGATTAGGTCTTGGTCCAATTTCCAGTTTTGATACCCATGTCAGGTTGATAGATTAATAACAGAAGATACAAAAAAAGTTTTCAAAATACTTTTTTTAAGTGCAAGATCACAAGTATTTCTGATCAAATTTCTAGTGCAGACGTCTAAATACTCTTCAAATAACACAAAACTACTTTACAAGCAACTTTTTAGCAAGATGGAGTAGCTTGTTTCAAATCAACAACTCCTTAATACTGATTGAAAAAAGTATGGGCTGCATTGACTGATTATATCACCAATAAAAAGTCATTTTTCTCATGTTGTAAGTGAAATATTATGTCTGTTGAACCAGAGCTATTTAATCAATTTTTTTTTTTTAAATCTGTGGCCTAAAACAAGCGTCTGAAGCGTCAAAAGCTACCTGTCAGTACTGCTGTGAGCACAGCGAGGTGGTGCATTGTGAATCCCCAGCAGCTACAGAACACAAACTTTAACAAGTTTAACTTTTTCCCCTCATCTCCGCCCTCCCTCTCTTGGCTCTCCATACAGTTCATATTTACAGGAATCTAATAATCATAAATGTAATTCACTTGTTGAGCAGGAAGTGATCCAGCGCCAGGAGCAGAGCATTAATAACCTGCTGGCAGCCATGGTGGAACAAGGGAGGCATCTGGACCACCAGACCATGAAGATCCAGCTGCTGGAGGAGAAAGTAAACGCTCCAAATCTCCCATCAATTTCAGCACATTAATGTCTGCAAATAAAATGAGTATTTTCAGAGCACATGATATGTTTTTCTGCTGAACCACTACGAGTGGATGCGTCGGTTATGACTGCAAACTGAAGTGTTGTTCTGTCTTCACAGCTGGCAGTCGGCACATCGGCCCAGGAAACCTTTGAGAAGGTGTCAGAGATCTCCGTGTCTGAATTACCAACAGCCGCCCCCTTCCTGACCTCAGACACCAGCAGCAGCACCACGACGAGTGAGATAAACAGTAAACAGAAGAAGATTTAAAGATTCAATGGCCGACTTCAGAGCTTAAAATCCGGCGTAGACTCTGAGATGTTTTCTGCAAATGGATTCACAACAAGGGACTGCGTCTCTTCAATCCACAACTAGATCCTGATTATAAGAGAAGCTACTATTTTTGATTCAGACCCAGGTCAAGCACCAGGTTTAGAAGCTTCAAAGAACAAATAAAAGCTACTATTAAACCCGATTCAAAGAGAAACCGAAGAAAATAGCTGATCTGAAAATTGTGGCTGTTGTGTTTCAACCTGACTGAGGATTTTTTTTTTGTTTTCCTTTTTTATCTTTGTTGCATTTCTGTTACAACGGATGACGGTGAGCTAAATATGAACAGCCTTGCTTTTTCCCAGCATGCCATGTGAATCAGAAATCCAGCAGAAAGGAATTGCATTAAATGATTGTTTTTTCTCTCTTCTTGATTTAGGAAATTGCTACAGTTTTGGCTGTCTGTTAGAAATGTTAACTCACTGGTGTATCCACTATGTTTAGAATATTTATATTCTGTAAATATTGCTAACGCTAGCCTAACAACAACAATATTCCATCCTCTCTCCTGCAACATCAGGGGAAGGAAAAATTTTTTCCCCCTATGTGTCCTCTTGTTCCTTTTGTTTATATTTTCCTTCTTTAATTTCTTTTCTGTAATTCTTTTTGCAGTATATTTCCCGTCAGACTGCAGCGAGTTGTTTGACAGAGGGGAACGGGCAAACGGGACCTACACCATCAAACCCAATGGGTCAGAGCCCTTCATGGTATCTTGTGACATGAGCAGAGGTATGCCACATTTCTTCCCACACGGCAGCATTTAGACTGATTTTGGATCCGTAAGTTGCTGGATAAACCACCGATCAGGAATTTACGCTGATTGTTTGAATGCCCAGCTCAGGATTTATTGCAAGCCTTACTGTAAGGATCAACAACAGATGTGGTACTTTCAACTGTTTTAGCTTATGAAGCTTTGATAAAGCTTTTTGATAGTGAAAAGAAAAAATACATATTTTTAAGGTTTCAAAAAGATTTCTGTATTACATACATTTGGTGATTTTTAAAAAATGGCTGTCGTTTTACTGTGCAGTTCCTGACCGTTCTTGCCTTTAGGTCGTGGAGCGACGGTTATCCAGCAAAGAAGAGACGGATCAGTGAATTTTGATCAACCATGGGAAAAGTATGAAAATGGATTTGGAGAGTTGCAAGGTGAGAGACTGTTTGAATGATCTGATTCCGCAAGCTAATCTCTGAGATTTGTCTAATACAATAAGTTGACCACTTCAGTGTTATCTTGCCACATAATGCTGCTACATTTAAAGTAGGCTTTATCTTTATTTAAATGTGAAGAAAGACATTACACTTGATCAAACGTCAGGTTCTGTGACATACATGAGGTCTGTGTTGCCATAAAATGCGTCTCTGCTAAATGTATACATTGCATACATTTTGGGACAAAGGCTGTTTAGTTGCAGCAACAATGTTTTCCTTCCACAGTCCAAAAAACATGACTGATAGGCTCTAAGTTGTCTTTAGGTGTGAGTGTGTGTGCCTGGTTGTTTTTGCTTGTGTGTCTCTATGTTGCCTTGTTGTGTCATCATGATGGACATGATGACATTTTGGGCCACTTACTTGAATTTTAATGCCATTCAAAGACCCGCAAGGCTTAGATAAATATTGCGGGAGTATTGCCTTTCTGCAGACCTGACACTAAAATAAGCCACAGATGTTTTGGGCATTTTGGAAATGTGACTCTATGCATATTGTAGGATCCTGACAGACTCTTACCAAAGAAAACAAAATGTTAAAATTAAATCAAAAGATAGTTCAACAAAGGATGAGTTTAATAGTGTGTGCAATTCTGCAACCTTGTTGTTGTAACTGTTATTTTTTTGTATTTACTTTTTAACAAATTTGATTTCCATCAACTTGTACAGATCATGTGTCGAATTATTTGTGGTAAACGTTTCATAATTATTTGTGAAGGGCCCATTTTCTGTCACAAAACGATTCATTTTAACATGCGTCCCAGGTCCTGTGTTTCTGTCTCCCTGGTAAACTTGTTGCCTACTCTTTCTCTCACAGGTGAGTTTTGGCTGGGCCTCAAGAAAATGTACTCCATTGCCTCGCAGGGGAACTCTGTCCTTCACATCCAGCTGGAAGACTGGAAGCAGAACAGACACTTTATCGAATACAGATTTTACCTGGAAGGCCCGGAGAGCAACTATGCCATACGACTCGTTTATCTGTCTGGAAGTCTGCCCAACGCGTTGAGCAACCACACGGGACTGGTGTTTTCCACCAAGGACAGAGACAACGGCCGCCACTGGGCATCCAGATGTTCCCACCCCCAATCAGGTAAAGCAGACGTTTCCCACCTGGCAGAATTTCATAAGAGGTCCTAATGTCTGGACAACTCATCATCTCCTTCACTTTTAGGGGGGTGGTGGTTCAGCTCCTGTGGCGACACCAACCTCAATGAGAGGTACTCACGCGTGAGAGCCAATGGGCGCTCAGAGCGAAGGAGAGGCATACAGTGGAGGTCAGGACGAAAGGCGTCTCACTCCTTCGCTTTCACACAGATGTCCATCTGTCCTATGGACTCTGTCAACTCCCTCTGATGCCACTGTCCATCGCTGGTCCATCACCTGCTAGTTGTTACACTCATTGTAAACAATCAAATAAAAGCCCCTTTGTCACAAGGAGCCACACTAAATTTATCCAAGTAAATATATTAAGTCCATTGGGTTGCCATGTTAAACAAATGTAAATAAAGTAAGTTTGACAAACTTATTTTGATTACATGTGACAAATTAACTCCGTGTTTTAAAGTCAGATGTTTATTCTCTTTTTTGTTTACTTGACAAACTTTTTTTTTTTTTTTACTATGCTGTCCCTATGAAGTGTCACGACTCTTTCTTCATTAAACTTTATGGATACTCTACTCACTGCGAGTGACTTCGCTGAATGAAGAACCAGCTTGTTTTAACCAAAACCTCATCAGGCACAGACACACCTGCAGTTTTTGTTAAAGTTTCGTAAATTTATTTGGGTTTTATTTTATGTTATTTATAGAATTTTACTTTATGTCATTAATATGAATTATTTTCATTTTTTGGTGTTTAAAATGCCAACATTTTCACATAACGTCCACATGATCATCTGAAGATGTCATTTTTAAATATTAAATGATTGGAGTTTCATCGTTTGGTACTCAAGTCGCCTTTTTACCCAATACTTTTTTGCTCTTACTTGACTAACTTCATGGTCGAGTACGTTTTACATTTACTTGAGCAGAAATAAGTTAAAGTAGCACTTCTCTCACTCGAGCACAACTTTTGTCTGCTAACAACCTCCACTGATTATATTTCCTTTTTCTCCAACAAATTGTTGCAGCTATGGTGGCTATTTCTACCTTAGCACTTTGTGCCATTTTGGTCGAGCATTTAACAACCAGTAGAGAGCAGTGTTGTTCTGCCTCTTATTACCAATTACTGTGATTGTGCTAAATATGTTTTTATTTGTTGTTGTTGTGTGTTTCAGGTTTCTGTAAGTCATGTGTGCATGCTGCTGCTTGTGGATGAGATGAGAAATGCCATCCCTGTTTTTGCACATCATTACCAGGAGCACAGCTGCATCCTTTCACACGCTGATAAATAACCCCCCAGTCTGACACACACACACACGCGCACACACACACACACACACACACATAGTTTTCTCTGACCGGGCCTGGAGCCCTGACAGTGATCTCCCTGCACATGTGTGAAGGAGCGTCTTCAGTTACCACCCTGCCTCTGCACACACATTAGTTTGCGAAGGTTATTTTGAGCTGCAGAAGTCCTTCTGTAGCCCAGCGAAATAATAGGAGGAGTCGAGCTCTTCACTGTCCATTCTGTTCCTCAGAGCTCATTACTGCGGCTGACAGAGGGGGAGGGAAAGGTGTTCTCTGCATGGAACTTCAAGTTGGATCCTCATTTTAAAGCGATGGAGAACGGGCCTCTGCAGGTCCTGACCTTCCCTACGGCCCCCTACCCCGACCAGAGACCAGGAGCCAGCGGCCTCAGGAAGAAGGTTTATGTGTTTCAGTCCAAGAGGAACTATCTGCACAACTTCATCCAGAGTATTTTCTCCTCCATAGACCTGCCCGACCGTCAGGGTGCAACCCTGGTGGTGGGAGGAGACGGACGTTTCTTCAACAGAACGGCTATCGGGGTCCTCGTTCAGATGGCAGCCGCCAACGGGGTCAGTCAGTGTGTGTTTGCGTGAGTGCATGCGCGTGTGTGTGATCACTAAAAAAGTGGATGGCTGCACACACAAAATACTGGTGACTCTGTTTACAAATAACTGTGTGCATGTCGGCGTCACCTGCCCCATCACTTGATCGTATGAAGCGCATGAAAGAGCTTGGCTGTGTTGCAAAAGTTTTTTTTTTTTTTTTAATCTTCAGCATTTTGTCACTTTACAACCAGAAACTTCCATGTATTTTATTTAGATTTTATGTTGTCAAATCCATTTTCATTTGGGAGTCGTATCAAGATCAGGAATGTTCTCACATGTCTGGTTGGATGTGCCACAACGTCTCAATGAAACAGTATTAACAAACTGTTCAACGAGAGAAAACAGCTGTCTCTGCATTAAATGAGTACTTCTTAAAATTAAATAATGTTTTCAGTTTGAACAGTCCTACAATATTTTGCGAGTGTTTTTCCGATTTCTATCAAAGTCCCTGCTTTTGTGGAATTGATTTAAAAATATTTCCAAGTGATTTTGTAATATTTGCATTTACATGTATCATCAACTGTGACTTTTTGTTACTCATCATATACGTCACGGACTACAATTGACATTAGTAAGGTTGAGGGAGCAGTGTAAAAAACACTGCCACCTACAGGTGTGGGTTAGCAGTCATTTAAACCCAATGTTTTTGACCATTTTTGTAAAAAATTTACAATAAACTCAGTTAAGCATTGACTTTGAAAAAAAATGCAAGGATCTGATGTTTATCTGATTGCAGAAATGGAAAAAAAAAGATTCATGCATTTTGCCGTCTGGATTCCAGAGGACCACATAAAAAGCTAGACGTCAAACTTTCGTCTTTCATCACTGGCATCCTCCAAGCTTTAGTTGTTCCAAGACCAACACATCTGAATGAAATCACTAATTACTTCCTCATCCACTCAACTTTCAACTGTGTCCTGCTATTATGCTAATTATGTGCAATATTTATGATTTAGGCGTGTTGACACAGAGACGGATCTAAAAGTTGTAGGACTGGAATTGGAAACGGCTTGGGCCAGTTTTAAAAAGCATCTTTTTTTTTCTTTTCCATACATTTTTAGTGGCTTAAAATCCCTCCGGCAAAATTCCAGAGATAGTTCAGAAATCAGCACTTTGACTAAAAGCTGCTTCTCCCTTCCCTGTTTCACAGATTTCGTTCTCATTTCTGGTGTTTACCAGAATGACAGCCAAGTCCCTGGAAAGACATAAAGTAAAGTTGGCTGGCTAACCGAGACCAGCTAGTTAGCCAACAAATATTAGCTTTCAGAGGAGCAGAACAGCATGAAGCGATGATATTCTACACAAGTAGCACATAAAAGCTTCTGCTGAAATCAACAGGTGTTTGCTCCATTAACTACGTCCATCTCTGTGTTCATGACTTAAAAAGTAATTGTCTCGTTTTAAACTGACCCCGACTTGAACTTTATTTGACCACTTGTGACTGAAGTAACATTTAATTATTTTTTCCCCTGTAGCTTGGGCAGGAAGTTAATATTATTTTATTTATAATTTATTTTATTTATTCCAAGTATTTGAGTTAACCTCGGAACTGTGGTATGTAGTAATAATAGTAAAATCAGATCTCAAAATGTAGTGAAACAAACTGCATTATGTAATGATCGAAAATTTGATCCAATCCAATTTGCAATGCCTTATGCCACATATGTAGCATGAAACATTTTATGCCAATTACTACAAAGCATGAAAGTAGTTATAAGGGCCATTGTAGATTTATACAAAAAAGAGAAAACGTAAATTTCTGCCAAAAAAATCGCAGACATTTTGAGATTAATCTCAGAAATCTTCTGGAAACAAACCTGGACGTTTCTGAGCTTTGACAAGAAGTCAAAAAATTCCTAGAAAATAAAATACTCTGAAATTTTGAGATTAATTTCCACTATTTCTAGAATATTTCTGAGTTTCAAACATTGAAAATGTTTAACTTCTAGAAATTTTCAGAATTTCATAAGTCGAAACCTAGAAAAGGTATTTTACTGCCGGTACCAACTTGGGCTTTGTACTTTAGAAGAGAATGTTCCTTTATTAACTTTTGCAAAACAAAATGATTAAGGCAGAGAAAAAAAAGCACATCTTCATCATTTATTTACTGCAATTTATTGAGTTGATTGTGTAAACTGATCAATATCGGGTAAAGGAAAACATTTGATTAAATCATTGTCTTACCAGGTAGACAAGAAACTGAATTAACATATAAACCAAATGCATTTTTTTTATTATTGAAATAGTAGTCATTTATTTAAACATATTAGATGATGGATGATGCTCCTGTCTTCTGAAAGGAGCAGCATATTTTGTGACCTCACATGAAAAACTGTCAATCACTTTGATTAATGAGCAATTCCAATGAATGCCAATATAGCATAACTCAGCAGTCATACAGCAAAAAGTAGCAGAAGAAGTGAAGCTGTACACATCAAAAATAAACTCTAAGTCAGCAGAATAGTTTCAGCTCTTGGCTCTGATGCGCTCCACTAGAAACATATCGAACTGTTCTGATTTCAGGCGCGCAGTCAGCATCAGTAAAAAGCTCTCTGTGTTCTCTGGGTTTAAATTACATCACCTCTGAGTGGCTTGGGCTTTTTTAGCTCAGCAAATTTATTATACGGGGTGTGAATACACTCATCCGTGTTGGAACTTGTTCTTCGTGTCGGCGTTAATCCTAGTTCCGCTTGCATGTAGAAGGACAGGGGACGTGCCCGCTCCGATCACCTCTGCCCCGACTCAAAACGTCTGACGTTTCCACAGATCGGTCGCCTCATCATTGGTCACCATGGGATGATGTCGACGCCAGCGGTGTCCTGTGTGATCAGAAAATACAAAGCCATCGGTGGGATCATCTTCACTGCCAGCCACAACCCTGGTGGACCCAATGGAGACTTTGGCATAAAATTTAACACAGCAAATGGAGGTATGGCAACGTGAGAGGAGTAATGTCAGACACTAAAACCGATAGTTCAAAAGCTTCTTCTGGATAATAAAAAGATACCTTTGGTGACTAACCCCGAGGAACACAACACAGTACTTATGAATTTTGATTTGGCTAGAAAAACATTCTTCTTCATTCCTTCCAGGTCCAGCCAAGGAGGAGGTCACAAGCAAAATCTACCAGCTCAGCAGAACCATTGAGGAGTTTGCCATTTGCCCCGGATTGCGTGTGGATCTGAAAATGCTCGGCAAACAGGCGTTTGATCTGGAGAACAAGTTCAAACCCTTCACAGGTGACGGGAGTCACTAATATGTCCTGAAGCAACAGGGTCAAGGATTTGCTGAGGAGAAAACATGAACATGTGAGCTGGAGCCAGAGAGTCTAATAGGTGCATTTAAACCAGCCCAGAAAGCCTGGCTCGTTTGTGGAGCTGTGAACGTGGAATCAAACTCTGATGTACACCAAAAACAGCAAACTCTGGTCTGCCTAAAAACATACATGTCTGTTTGGTGAAGTGAACTCTGGTGTGGTTTGAATGCATATGCGAATGCAAGCGGACCAAAGGCCACTCCAAAAGCAGGAAACAAACTAGCACAGAGCATTATGGGTAAATACAACCAAAACAAGCGTCAGAGGGAGAAATGACTTGTGGTCTTTTACCAAAGACAAAAGAGAAATCCTACAATCGTTACCATTTGATGCCATTCCATTTCTGTTTACATTTTGTGAAGAAGTAAGTTTTGCTCAGTGGTTTCGGTGGTTCTTGGCTCAGTCCCACCACAGGTTAAGGAGTGAACAGGTTTTTCGATTAGTCTGGATCGTTTGACACAGTGGAGTGTGAAAGTGAACCACACCAGCTGAAAATGTATTAGATGTTGCAATTTTGGTCCCCAATCGAACTGAGTCTACCGGACTATATCAGGTGTGAAAACATCCTAAGGAAACTGTTTATCACATAAGTTTTGTGGCATTGTGTGCCGGGCTTGAACTCGAACTTTATTACCACAGCTCAATGATTTTTGTTGGGATTTTATGTGACAGACAGATGAGCAGAAAACTGATGTGGAGAGCTGTCAGCCAGGCAAGGTGACATGAGGGAGATTTGGAGTTTCACAAGATTTGAGAACAACAATTACCTCCCATATAATGTTACCAACTCCTGAGGATTTAAACCAAAGGCTTAAAATTTCAAATACTTCTTGCAAATAGAGAAAGTAGAAGACATTCGGTAGATTAGTTAGCATACAGACTTGTAGATAAGCTTTTAGGCGTCGACCTACTGTTCTTTAACTTATGGCGTTTTGTTTCTACTGTTTGTTGTGTTCAGTGGAGATAGTTGACCCTGTGGAGTCCTATGCCAACCTCCTGAGGAACATCTTTGACTTTGCGGCTTTGAAGGATCTTCTGTCTGGCGAGAATCATATCAGCATAAGGCTGGACGCCATGCATGGAGGTGAGCGATGTGTTCAACTCTGAAGCATCAAAGCGTCTGAAAATAAAATAGCTTCTGGTTCTGCTCATTCAAATCCTGACTGTCTTCAAGCCTCCCTTTACTGTAGCTCTGTCTGCTCCCCAGTGCTGGGACCATATGTGAAGAGAATACTGTGTGAGGAGTTGGGTTGCCCGGCAAATTCTGCCATTAACTGTGTCCCGTTGGAAGACTTCGGAGGTCAAGCGCCCGATCCGAACCTTATGTACGCCACAGACCTGGTTGACAGCATGAGAGACGGACAGTATGACTTTGGAGCAGCGTTCGATGGGGATGGGGTGTGTTCAGTTTTTTAAGATTTTATACTAGAAAGTGAAATGAAACTCGTTTAACTGGGACAATTTCTTAAGTCCAATTATGCTCAGATAATCTGAACTTGATTTCGAACCTCTGCCTGTGATTTCTTTCCAGGACCGCAGCATGATCCTGGGTAAGCATGGCTTCTTCGTCACCCCGTCTGACTCAGTGGCTGTGGTAGCCGACAACATCTTCTGCATCCCGTACTTTCAGCACACGGGCGTCAGAGGCTTTGCCCGCAGCATGCCCACAAGCACGGCGTTGGACAGGTAAAACTCTGGCCAAGTATCAACTTAACCCCCTGTTTTTAAGACACTCAATCAGTTAAGTAGCACTTCCTGTTTGCGGCCAAGAATACTTTCTCATCGACCTGTCCACAGAGTAGCCAAAGCAACGAAAATAGAGCTGCATGAAACTCCCACCGGCTGGAGGTTCTTTGGGAACCTGATGGATGCCGGGATGCTGTCTTTGTGCGGAGAGGAAAGCTTTGCGACAGGTACAACTTCTTCTGTGAGATTTAAAGAGGTTCTAGAGTTTGTGAGTTGGAAACTCTAAAATGCATACAGGTGGGGACCACATTCGCGAGAAGGATGGGCTTTGGGCTGTGCTGGCATGGCTGTCCATCATCGCGACCAGACGGCAGAGCGTGGAGGATATTTTGAAGGATCACTGGCTAAAATATGGAAGGAATTATTTCACAAGGTGAGTGGCGGACATGCAACAGGCAGTATCCTTCCTGTTTCACGGTGAAGATGGGTTAAAAATTTGAAAAATGACTCCATATTTTATTGCAGTAGCATAAACAGACGTGTTGATTTGTCTCACTGTGGAGATTTGCTTTAACTTCTGTACCGTTTCAGCAATTTCCACTTCCGATACTGATACCGATATCTGAAGTTTAGTCTCTACCGATAACACAAAAACAGTGTTGAATTGACTTAAAATGTTTCCTTTATTTAAACACAGACAAAAATGAGCTGAATTATAAATCTATTTGATAAACTCCTGAATCATTACAGCACACTTAAATACCCCGATAACTTCACAATCATGTAAAAAACGATGCAACTTTGATTTGTTCAAACCATAAACTTAGGAGTGTAGCAGCCAATTTAAAATAAATAAAGAAACTGAAACTGAGAGAAAGTAATTGGTTGAAAACGTTGGTCAAACACGTGAAAGTAAACTGAAATAAACTCCTTTCTAAACATAATATTTGTTTTAAATATAATGGAAAACAGAGCCTGACCAGATAGAAATAGACAGAATAGATCTTCAGTTATGGACCAGACACATTGTAACTGATACTCGATCTAGAATTTTTTTGAACAAAATAATTGAAATGACTGAACATCTGGGCAGGCATGCATGAGAAGAAACTTTCTTTAGTTCTTTCTGGCCTTCTGGGGAAAAAAAGCCCTCTTTTTACTGTATTTGGATGCTTTGCTGTCTTTGTTTTTGAAGTTTTGAAGAGTGGCTAAGAGAAAGGTCTTTTAAGTGTACACCTAAAGAAATGAAAATTTATACCCTGGGAAAACGGGACATTGTGGATTTGTCATTAAAAGGTCATATAACCATATGACGTTCAAATTACAAAATAATATATCAGATGAACTTTATTCCAAAATAAAGAACTTCACTTATTCAACATTTTGTTATACCGCCTTATTCCAAATTGTATTAATTATGTTCTTCTCCTCAATATTCTATTGACAATGCGATTCATTTTTTGGAGCTTTTTTTTTTGTAAATTCATTAAAAGATGAGGCGTTTTCTAAGAAATGTTCAGTTTGTCATCAATGATTTTGTTACAAAAAAAACATTATTTCTTCATAATGAATTTTATTCCTAAAAACATATTTCAATGCTGTTCACACAGCTAGGCCAGCGCGTGTCAGAGCTGTCAAAGCATCAGTGATTTTCATTTGATCTGCGTATTTTGTTGTACTCTGGTGAATGAGCAACAGCATGTTTAATATAAATATTGTCCAATTAAAGCTCCCTACAGGTAGAAAGTTGTTCCAAGAAGAACAGCGGAGAACATAAGTGACACCTAGTGGAGAATTAAAGCCACTACATTGACTGAGGAGTTTTTTTTTTCTCTTCCTTTGAATCCATTCATAATTTTAATTTTTTTGATTCTTCAATGATCCGCTGATAACCCACTGCTTTGCAAGTCCATACAATGAAATTTCTTGAATTTCTTCTTCTTCTTCTTCTTCACCTATGCCCTCCAGATATGACTATGAGAACGTAGACATAGACGCGGCGTGTGACATGATGGAGGACCTGGAGATCCTGATCTCTGACAAGTCCTTCGTGAGGCAGAGATTCGCGGTCGAAGACAAAATCTACCAGGTGGAAAAAGCTGACAACTTCGAATACACCGACCCGTTGGACAGCACCATAACCAGGAACCAGGTATGCAAGTTCGTGGTCACTGCCTACTTGATGTAGGCAACAAAACCAGCCATCTGTTTCCACTGCAGGGTCTGCGGATCATCTTCTCTGATGGCTCCAGGATCGTCTACAGGCTGGGTGGGACGGGCGCCGAGGGAGCCACCGTCAGGATCTACATCGACAGCCACGAAAGGAAACTTCTATCTGAAGAGACGCAGGTAAAGAGGCAGAAACGGTGGGCGGCTCACTCCAATCACAGTTGGAAGCAGTAAGATCAGCAGCCGTGACATCTTCACATACACAGGGCAGTGCAAAAAACAAAACAAAACAAAAAAAAAACAGAACTTTTGCACATTTTGCCACATTGCAGCCATAAACGTCAATGTACTTTATTATATATTTAGAGTTTATTCCAGTTCCAGTGTCAAATACTTCTTACAGTTTAAAGTTTGGTGATATTTGAGAATGTGCTCTGGCATAAATATGTCATTACCATTATCTCTAGAAAATGGTGTCCACGCAACAATATTACTGTTTATCGCAATAACATCTGGGACAATTTATTGTCCGGTGACACTCATTACTGTGATGGGCCCGGTTGTGATGCAACCAAACAGTTTGTTGTAAGTTAGTCCCTCCAGGGGGATGTCCAGGTGACGTCCAGGGGGATCAGTCTCTGACCTCGTGGTTCTCGTTTGGGACAGGTGATGCTGGCACCCCTGGCGACCATTGCTCTGAAGATTTCTCAGCTTCACCACAGGACGGGTCGAAACGGCCCATCGCTCATTACTTAAAAGCTCCCCCCGAAAGCCCTCAACTTCCCGAGTTTTATATATATTTTTTTCTGTTTTGTTTTATTGCTCTGCCTTTATTTTTTGTATAAATAGTGCAGGAAGTCAAAGAGTGAAATCACTGTGTGCAGCCGATGAAATTTCTCACTCATATTTGTAGTTTTCCTCATGCATCTGGTATGTAATATAATTTTGTTTTGTTTTTTTGCCATTTATCTGCTTTGTGCTTTTGGATTTTTATCTGGTTTGGTTTGTGCCAGATCAGAGGAAATCATTATTTCACACAGCATGGCTTTGCTTCCTTGGACTGTAATTAAAAGAAAGATTGTTTTCTGAATACTACTATGAGCTGAATTTTACATAATCAAGCTAGCTACATATTTTATACAATATTATATTTGAATACAAACACTGCATCAGTTAAAAACGTGATAATAAAACAAAACAAAGATGAACTTCTTTCTGTAAGCTTCAAACTTCAATCTTTTATGCTCTCTAATTTGGGGAAATTAAAACTCCTCAGCGAGTAATAACTTAAAACCGAACAAAAGCCAGCCCACCATTAAAATCAGCACTCCAGAAAATTATGAAAAAAGAAAAAAACAAACAAACAAACAAACAAAAAACAATTCATAATATTGTCAACCAAATTGCTCTCCCCCCCCCCTGTCATCATGAATAAACCCACATTTCTTTGTACAGTGTGCCGTTTCCATCTAATATTTGTTACGGAGCCCGGATGAGACGGGAAGACTACCGTATGAAAGAAGAATATTTTAGCTGCAAGATTTCCATCTAGACAACGACAGCAGGAGTCACTAATATCTGCTCCAGCTCTCTGATCACTGACAGCCGTTGAATTGCTGCTTTCTCTTGGCTCCTGAACCCGTCAAGACATCCACACAGTCAGGTCCTTTTGTGTTCTGCATTTCTACAAAAGACATAACATTTTGACAAGTGAGTCATGTATATGGTTGAGGAAGATACGCTTCCACAATAAAGAAAGATACACATCTGAATAAATGTATTAATCCAGCTGTTAATGTGTGTGTGTGTTTTTTTGTTTTTCTTTTTGTTTTGTTTTTTAGAAAACTTGAGTATATTTATTCAGTGGGATTTAGGGCTGCAACTAACAATTATTTTAGTAATCAATTAATCTGTCAGTTATTCGGCTGACTGATGATGAGTCAGATAAAAATAAAATGGCACGGTCTACAAATTTTTAACTTAACCACTTATGATTAATTTTCTTTATTTTCATTACAAGATGTAAATAAGCAATTAATTCAATTCCTTTTAAAAATATAAAAGCATAAAATATATTTTTTATTGACTAAAATGCAAGAATAGCAATCATTTGGTGAATGTGATCCAGGTGAAGCTAAACCTGCTGTATACCACATGAGGAGTTTTGGATAAACGCAAAATAAATATATTAATTTGCTGCACCAAATCAATACAACAAAAACTACCTTTTTTGAGTTTGTACCCCAGTTAATTATTAATTAGCTGGGGTACAATAATTACTAATAACAATTGATGAATCACAATTAAATAAATCTAATTAATCACTTCAACCCCTTTGGGAATATATAAAACATATCTAAACTCCCCACCCCCAAAAACTAAATCACTTGCACATTCCCCAACTAGCAACTCTTTGTGCAACCACATTTTCCCTACACTTTATTAAATTCAAATTTTCTCTCATTTAAGATGTTCTTGAATATTTAAATAACAGAAACTTAAACAAAATACAACATTTAGATGTGACTATTTATTCAAGGTGAGATTTAAAAGTAATGTAAGCCTCTGTGCAAATGTTCCAGCATTATATTTGATTTTTTTTTTTTTTTTTTGTATTATTATTATTTTTAAACTTTTTTTAATAATTAAAAAATGTAGAGATAGAGCTTTAAATCCAATTGGACATCGTGAAACTGAATAAAGTGTCAGCACTCACCCTATGTGGAGTGAAAGCTTTGACAGACAGACAGACAGTCTGTTTGTCTGCGTACCAACATGGTACTGTCGCTTTAAGACAGACAATGTGACGTCGCCTCAGGAAACCCCGATGGAGGAAGCAGGAAGTTTGTCCAGCAAGAGAAGACGCGTCGGAGCACAAACAATATCCAAAGAAGAGAAGAAAAGTGTTTCAGGGAGCGTTTAACAGATTTACAACAATGGCTGGGATTAAAGGTACAGCGCTGAAACATTTGTGGACAAGTTCAGGGGCTGACAGTTTGGGTTTTGAAGCGTTTTGACGACCTGCTGCTGCTTTTGTTAGCTTTTGTTTCCAACCTTTCGGGACTCGTTTTCGCTGACAGTTAGACTGTGTGACGTTTCACGGGATGTTTATTATCACATAGAAAACATGTAGACTTTGTAAACTGCTCACTGGTTTTAATGCTGCGTCAGTTTGTTGCAAATACTGTAGCGAGTCTGTAGCTGAGGAAAGATTCAGCCCTGCCTGCTGCACTTTCGTTTTCATTTATTACTCCTCATTTATCGCCGCCAAGTTATTAAATTCCTGACTTCTCCTTCTAGCTCTGGTGGGTCTTTCGTTCAGCGGCGCCATCGGACTGACGTTCCTCCTTCTGGGCTGCGCGCTGGAGCAGTTCGGGTATGTTGGGACGGCTCTCCATGCTGCGCTGCATTTTTACATTTGCACAGCGGCGAATCGGCAAGCACGACAAACTGTTAGGCTAAGTATTCACAGAAAAATGAGTTAAATCAAAACGTCCTGACAGAAACCTAGAAATGACTCCCACATACGCTAAAAATGTAGGGAGAGCAGCATTTCAAAATTTGACATTGCAATATTTAATGTTCAGCTATTTGTTGTCCCCCAAAATACATAAATAATTAAAAACTAGTTCAAAACATTTGACAAAAAAAGAGCTTTTTTTTTTTTGCCTTTTGGATGCCCTTAAGCACAAATTCTTTAATAGAGGAGGAAGTTCAAATTATTTCTTCCATGGATTATAGTGGATGGAGATCACATCCCCTACTCTAACATCCCTCTGCCTGGCTTTCTAAGCATGCCGCCAAACTGAGATTTTTTTTTCTTTTTTTTAAAAAGGAGCGACAAAAGTATATTTATATTTTAAACGTCTTTGTTGGGAGCAGAGCGGAAATCAAGTCGCCTTCCTCTTTACTGTACAAAGCTGATTTTGACACGAGGAACTAATTTCATTTGTCAGGTTCCAGTCATGACATCAGTGGGCAGAAAGTTACAAAATAGATGGAAAGATGGTTTAAATCTAAAAGGCTGTTAAGCAACCAAAATCATGCAGTTTGCGCACTGACAACTAGTCGATCTGTGAATATTCTCAAGGTTGTTGGCATTGAAAAAATAAATAAATAAAATGCAGCGAGAATTAAAATTTTCTGAAAGGAATTTAAAAGCAGACTGAGCATCAGAGGGGGCAAGATTAGCTGAAAATTGTTTTCAGGTAAGAGTAGTGGTGCTTCACCATATTTTCGCCTAAATAGACGTCATTCAGAAAATTACAAAGAAAATGGCAGCACAAGTAAATCATTGTCAAACCGAATATCTATTGAATTTAACTCAGAAATCTATGAATGATTTAGACATTTTTAGATCTAATTTTAGTTTAAAAAATACTTTTAGTTGTGTTGGAAGAACTTAAAAAAAAAAAAAAAGTAGTTCAAAACGCATCACTTACCTTGATTAGAAGGAAAATCTAAATACTTCTCCAGAAGTGATGTATAGTCAGCATGTAAGCTTAGCTAAACAGGCTAGCATTAAGACAGATGTATCATTTTAAAAGCTTTTTTTTTTTTTTTTAGCTCTTAACTGTGTTCCGAAATAACAAGACAATAGATTTTTATTTTTTTTCCCCAAAACTAAATTTGTAACTTACTATTAAACTAACTGAAGTTAGTTGCTGCAGAACAGATTTGTACTGTCCAAACATACAAATAACAGAAGGGCAATCTGCTTGTCATCTTTTATAATATCCTCTTAGATGCTTTGAAAAATAAATACTTCTCAGCTCAAACTGCAACCTACATTTTATCTTATTTTATTTTTTTGCGGCCATCTCACAAATCAAAACCAAAAAAAAAGTAATTAGATGACTGATGGACCTCAGCTCCTTGCATTCAGAGCTCACCTTGGAAAGATTAAGTTTGACCGACTTGGTTTTAGGCAGTCTGACATGTTGTTACCAGTCGTTGCCTCACTCCAGCCCCAAACTGGGATGTTTTCTCATCACAGAGGAAATACTTTGATCTGCCCCCCTCCCCTTTCCGTCTCTCACAGGGTGTACTGGCCGCTTTTTGTGCTGATTTTCTACGTGTTGAGTCCCCTCCCGACCTTCATATCCAGACGCCTGAGTGACGATGACTCCTCCAGCAATGCATGCAGGGAGCTGGCCTACTTTTTAACGACAGGGATCGTGGTGTCGTCTTTTGGCCTCCCCATCGTCTTGGCCCGAAACAATACGGTGAGTTGTCTTTGTTCCTACGTCTGTGTGTCCAGAGCCTTTCCAAAGTATTCACACCCGTTAGACTGCTTGGGCTGGATATGCAGGAAAACAAACAAACAAAAAAATGACAATTACATTCAGGGTTTTAAAAAAAGGGTTCTTTGAAGTTTTAAGTCAGAAAACCAATTAAAATTGTGATCTGATACATATTGAGGTGACATTCTCTTGAGGCAAAAAAATGACAGAATTTATTTTTTCTTACATTTTTTTATTTTTCTCCTTCACAATTATCAGCTGTGTGTTGACTCATAGTAAAATGTTCCTATAAAATAGATCAACGTTTGTGATTAGAACATGCATAAATGCAAACAAAAAAAAAGAGAGAAAAGAATAAATAACTTTTTTTCAACTTCAGTTGAAAGTGCCATAAGGGCATGTTATGATGAGAGACAGAGGTCAGGGGTCAGGGGTTGCCACTGCCAGTCGGCGTGCTGATGAGTCACGATTGAAGTATCAAACATTATTGAACACAAGTATGAGCAGTGGAGAAGACATTGAGTCAGCATGTAAACTGCTTTCGTGTCGAAAAAAAATAATGGATTTTACATCAGTTTGAAAGGCTAATAAATAGATTTGGAGAAAAATGGAGAATATTATCTCTATAATTTCAATATGTTTTAGATCATTTTATAAACACAGAATATAGTTCCAATTCCAATTTTTTCCATTAATTACCTGTTTTATTTATTTCAGCCAACAAAAACATTTTTCTCAATTTCAGTTTTTACTGCTTTCTTAATTTTACCTCTATTAGACATATTTTCCAAATGTCAACTTTCAACATTTTTTCTAGCGCCCCCTATAGGCCGACTAAGCAAGTTCTCCGGAGGTTGAAAAACCCCAAACAAGCAGGCTTTGCCGACCACGGCGCCGTGTCGCATGCCAACAGCCGAGCCGCGTGCTAACAGCCGAGCCGCGTGCTAACAGCCGAGCCGCGTGCTAACAGCCGTGTCGCATGCTAACAGCCGAGCCTGCTCTCTTGCAGATCCAGTGGGGTGCCTGCGGCCTGGTGATGACGGGGAATGCCGTCATCTTCCTCACCATCCTTGGCTTCTTCGTCATCTTCGGAGGCGGAGACGAGTTCAGCTGGGAGCAGTGGTAGAGCGTGTGATAAGCACTCGGGCAGACGGGGCGGGTCGTCGGACAGTGAGGCCAAGCGGACGGCAGATCGAGGGGCACGTTTGTTCTGCGCTGACTCGGGAGGGTGTGGAAAGAACAAAACCTTCACCAAGACGATTTTTCTTTCATTCAAGGGATCAGGGGTGTTTAGATTTAACAGGCAGTACTTTTTATGCTTATGAATGTGCCTTAAGTGTGTGGGACCGTAGGGACTGCGAGGCCTCCAGCCCCTATAGCCACCGACTCTATCCATTATATGTCATGTGTGTCAGCTGGCCTTAGCTTAAACTCCCAAAGCGGCCTCTTATCGAAGCCATCATTCTTATCACCGTGCCTCAGTTTATAATTATTTTTGGATCCCATTCCTCCTGAATGGGATCCAAAAAAAAAAAAGTTGTAATTCACAATGCGAGGCTAACTGTGTTCTGAAACATGGCTTGCGTAACACAAGCGCAGTTCGCTTTTAAAAGTCGGAAGGTGTTAAACGACGGTAGGACACAAGACTGAGGCGTTTCTCAATTCTCTCTGTATTTTTTTTTTTCTCAAGACTTTTTCAATTTTTTCTCTGGTTCTTTCTCTTCCTGTCCCAGTTGTTTACATCTTCACCAAAGATCACTTCCGACTGCAACAAAACAAAATAGATGTATGTTGTCCGAGTTCCCTGATTCGTCTCATGAACAAAAAGACACATTGCGCAATTTGAGTAGCTCATTCTGCTAGCATACGCTCTGAAGCCAAGTGCACTTCTTCACGTTGAACGTATCCATAACCGTCTGCCTTATGTGGTTTTTATTTAATTAGCAAACAAATCACCAATGTTTGACTTGCTTTCTCTTGAATCAATATTGATATTCATATTGTGTTTGTTGTTGATGGGAGTGAGACTGTCGTCCCTCTCATTGAAAACTGTACTTATTGTTCTATATTATGCTCAGTTTCTTTAGCATTAGCTTCACATCTGGGGGTAAGATAATATATTTTGTGTAAAACTGACACTTTGTCTCTTGGTAGAATTTCTATCCTTTATAAAGTAACTTCCTCACACACTAAGGAGAACATTGAGGTTATTTTACAAGCTCCAATCATGTTCTCTAACATTTAATAAAACTTTGTGTTGTAAATGTGCAGACTCTGATTTTTATTTTTATTTTTTAGGTGTTTATGCTTTAGGAATTGGAAAGGCAGACTACAACTGATTAGAGGTTTTGTGACTGACATACTCAACTTTTCCAGTGTCTCTTTAAAGTCTTTCAATTACACAGTTAATCTTTTTTCTTGAATAAATGGAAAACGCATTTTTTATTGTTTTTTTTCTACAATTGTTTATATCAAAATAAAACAATGATTTTTCTCAAAAAAGAAAAATGCCCAAAGTTGACTTTTCTACAGAATAAACCCACTTCAGAAACATTACAAGACAGATTTTGTAAACACCAAGTTCACCACAGTGATGGGACAACAGGGGAAGCTGATTGGCTGATCTGCCATTGTAGAATCAAAATGAAATTATAGACTCGCTCCAATTTTTTTCTTTTGCTCGCCTGAAGACAAAGTGTGCCCAAAGATGTTACTTTTTTTTTTCTTTCTAGAAGACAATTTTTAAATAATTTCTTTAAAAAAATGTCTCAAACTTTGAGAAAAACACTATGACATGTTAGACGTTTAGTTTCAGACGTTGCAATAAGTAATTCATTCATTCTTCGTAACTATAAAGGAAGAAATTTTTGTCGCGAAACGATGATTTCCTTTGTTCCACTTGGAGCAGCTGATGTTGCACAGCTCCACAGTGATCTTAAACCAGACAAATTGATTAGAGTTGACATTTTAGACAGATTTTGGCCAATTTCTAGGCTTTAGCGTGATTAACAGCTAGCTTTCATAATGGGTTTCTGTTTATTAGAGCCTTACTTTGACCATCAGATTCCTAATAGACGGCTCACGTTTTCTAATCCTTTTTGTTTTGTCATAAACAGAATTGGATTCTTAAAACACAACGACTTTTCTGTCATATTTTCAGTTTCGCTCCATGAAGCCAGCTGAAGGAATGGCAGTCATTCCATCAAAGAAAATGGAGTTATCTTTCTGGGAGCTTCTTGCTGCGTGTGTGCCTCAAAAACGACGAGATCTTCTGTCCTCAGTGACGACTTCCACACTGAGGAGAGTTGCTTTCACCCGGGCCTGATAAAAAGCGAGGGATGGTTCAGCAACTGGCTGGTTACATTCCAACCAGTCAGTGGAAATTTAAATCACCATCAAAATTGTCTCTCCGTTTTTGTTTTATCATTCCATCAAATAGAACTGGATGGAAATCAGACGTCCTGCAGCTGTGAACAACTTGAGTGGTTTAATTATGTTCCCTGTTGATGTGTGTCAGAAAACAACAAACCTAGCTCTCCAATCGAGGCATCGAGGAGGGTATTTTGGGGGTTTTTCATCCACAAACAAAAGCAGACCCACAGTGTGTGGATAAATGAATGCTTGCACGAATGATATCTGTTCTGCCTGCCTCTTGTAATTGCGTTTCTCAAAGGGTTGGAAGCACAGCGGGAACGGTGTATCATCATCCTGGATACTTCAATAGAGAATATTTCTGGGCGGAAAAATCGCCTTCGGAGGAGATAAATATCTAAAGAAAGCACGTAGGCTACTATGTGAGACAAAGGACGATGTAGGCTCTTAAATTCTCTGTTGTCATCATAGCGATGGAGGGACATGTGTTCAATTAACACAGCCGAGTGGACCCAGGAGGACAAGTGCCAGTGGGCTACCGTAATTCCTGTAATAATCTCCAAGCGTTTCCTCATCAAGTTTATTTATTTTTTCGTCATTTAGAAGTAGATGAAGTCCTTTGTATCAACACTGCTTAAGAAAATCAAGCTGCTTAAGAAACAAAGTTGGGTAAGTTGATATCGGAAGAACAACTTGAATGTTGTCAAGTTGTTCTTCCGATACACGATTCTTATACAGGAGCGTGTATAAGTTAAAAGTTATTTTCAGATGTACCACACAAAGATCCCAGAGGGATGAAAGACGCCCACAAAGAGAGAGACTGAAAAAAATATATATGACAGACTGAATTTCTATTCAGAAAGTGTGAAAAGGACACAGGAGAAAAGAAAATGAAGAAGGAAAAAAAAAGACCCAGGGACATCCATTCATCTCTTTTGTTTTTTTTTCAGGGCAGCTGTCGCCTAGCAACGATCAAGGCATCAAAGATGACTCCAGAGAGAGGCCTTGAATGCGGTGCAGCAGAAGTTAGGCGATCAATTATAGCTCACTGCTGCTGGAGTTTTCAAACACCTGAGCCAGTGTAGAAACAGAAAGTACCCTGTCGAACTTTCTGCTTCCCCATCAGGACAAATTAAAAACAAAACGAGATTTGCCAGAAGTTACAGCTCACTGGCCCTGGAGGTCAGGATTTGAGGATTCATGTCGAGGCTTCGACTGACCCTGACACCAACAACCACTGAAACAGCAGATCGCTTTAGACGGTTTGTTGAAATATGTGGTCGGAGCAGATGTTGTTCTGGCAAAGGAAAGTTCCAGGATGTCGCTGAAGACGAGAGGTGAGTGTTGTGATGGGAACATTGTGATCTGCAGCAGACAACGGAGGACAAGAGGTTCTTATAGGTCACTCACCACCACTGTCACGTCTTTCCTTCCAGGACGAATAGATGGAGGGCTGTTGGAGGGTGGATAAGGGGCGGGGGGCTGAGTGTGGCGTTTTGGAGGTGAAGGGCCTGAGCAGAAGGAGCTCAAAGATTAGTTTTCGAATGAGCCTGGAGAGCGAGGAGGCAGGACGCGGAGATCCGAGAGCGAATGAGACAATGACCAAAACAAGTTTGCCACTCACTGAGATGGAATTGTCAGGCAGTCTCCCTCAGGGGAACCCACTCAGCTTGAGCTCCTCTTGATTGTACTTGGCCAGGTTCATCTGTGGGAGTGTACACCTATCTGCCACGTTTGGCAAAGATGAGAGGCAAGAATGACACACAAGAATGAACGGCTCTGTGCATTTTTTTCCCCTAATGATCCCTACAAATCTCTTTTTCTTTTATTTAACTATCACAGCGTAATTTCCTTTGAAATTTTCATTGATGACAGTGAAATATTGTGTTGAATTTTTGCCACAATAAAGTCACTGGCATAGTTATTGCTATGCTGGAGGTGAGTGCAAAGAGAAATCTAAAATCTTTAGTACAGTAAAAGTATCAGGAAGGCTTCCAGACAAAGGGCCAGAGGGACTGTTGCTATCAAACAGATTCATTCCCTTCTGGGTGGAAATCTAACAGAATCAGGCTGGAGTGGAAGTGGGAGAGCGGTGCGCGCGCGATGACGAGCCATTGGTCAAAAGGATTTGAGGGGAGAGGGAGAGGAAGAAGGGGGGCGGGGGGTCTACGTGGTTGCGGTCCAAGCCAATCGATGTGCTCGTGGAGTCGCGAGGGGGAACGAGCGCGAATGGGACAAATGGAACCTGATAAAAGGGGGCGCGTGCCTCGGCAGGCTCGCGGTGGGACGACCGCGGAGCAGAGCGACAGCAGCGTCTTCGTCGGAGGGAGGAAACGAACCACCACCGGTAAGACGAGATTCATTTGGTAAAGCAGCTCTTAGACATTTAAATATGTGTTATTATTATTATTACTATTTTGTCTCGCGGAGCTTTTCGTCGAACTTCTTCTTATTATCCAAATTGTTGTGTTTTTTTCTTTTTTTCGGCCGCCAGCCTGGAGCTCGCGCGACGTTTCTTTGAAGTTTTGACAGATTTGCCGTCGTCCTAAGTCTTATTCAGAGAAGCCCTGCTGTGAAAACGTCTGAATTATGTACGAGGCTTCCGTCGTTTGATGCTCAGGCAACACTTTTCACAGGAAACATCTTCAGTTAAATGCGCAGGTTTGTTGCATTTCCAGTCCGCTGGCCTCCTTATCTTTGTTTCCATTTTGCGGTGAAAGCATCTCTCTTCCTTTCGACGGTTCCGTTTCATCGTGTGTCACGTTTCAAAGACTTTTCTTAACCCGCGGTGACAATGACGTGACTAAAAAAATGTTTTTTTAGATTGTAATCAAATGGAGTTAAGTTTTGAAGAGTGTCTGAGATACGTATCTGGGATTCAAGGCAGGCAAAGAAGATGCAAAAAGACAAATTTTGGGGTCACAGTAAGGGAGGGGTCGGTCTTTAAACTGTCTTCTGCCATTAGAGAATCAGTCAGTTTATTTACCAATGAAGGACCAGGCAATTGAGTTTAACCTAAAGGGCAGGCTGATAGATGGCTTTAAGTGGGCTGTAAAATCAACACAGGATGCCTGAAGGGATTTAATGAATCTCCTCACAGAGTCAGCAGGAAAATCTTTTTTACTTTTTCTTTTAAGTGTGCGCTTGAAATATTTAAAACCTTGACAAACAATAGTCTCGCAACAAATAATCAAACAGCTGCTCTGTTGTGTAAGATCTGGAGGTAAAATGATACTGTGTTGCAACACTGTGTGAGTGGATGTGTGATATTTGGGCTATGGCATCATCTGGTTGGACACAATCTGCCCTATTTACAATAGCATGCAGAAATATCAATCAGAGAGGGCAAATGGGGATTTACGGCTAATACGTGATTATAGTGTTCATTGATGTTTCTTATCTGTTACAATCAATGTAAAAATCAAAAATAGTACACCCTCTTTCACTTGTAAAGTTTCACATCTCTGATGATAAAAAAGAGCACAATAAAAAAAAGTAATCTGATGGGTTTTTTTTTTACACCTAACCTACTGTTATCATTCATAAAACCAAAATGGAAAGTAGATTTGTTCATGTACAGCTCTCTTAAAGTCCCAAAATAGCATTTCACTATGGAATTTGACTGGACCATTTCTTCACATTCAGTTTTTTTAGTGTTGTTGTTTTGTTTTGTGCTGTTCTATTGTAGATTTGTCTCAATGTTTGGGATCTTTGTTTTGCTTCATGGTCCAACTTCAGCCACAATTCGACTGTGGCAACTGGCTCATATAAAGATCACTCATATAGAGTGAGCTGCATTTAAATTTTAGACCCTCAAATGCTTTGGTATTCAGAAAAGTTTATGCAACTGCAGAGACCTCCAAACCTGCAGCTGTAAAGCAAGCTGGTCACCCTTT